ATTAAAAGTCAATTTGAAAAAAAAATTGGTGAATAGGAATAACTTCTTTGAAAGTTGCAACTAGTACCAATTGTAAACGATGATCAAAACAATGAATATAATATGCATATGGACAATCATTACACACTAAAGCTTGTAATCCATTCCATTCACCCCTTATATTGCTTGCACCATCATATCCTTGTCCTCATATATTTTCAATTGCTAGATTATGATGAGAAAGTACAAAAAATAACTTTTTTTTCAGAGTTGGTGCCAAAGTGTTGGAAACATGAACAATACCAAAAAAAGGCTCCTACACAAGACCACCGACATCCATGAATCTCAAAACAATAGTCATTTACTCTTTATTTGACGCTTCACGTGCTTCATCAATAATTATGCAAAATTTTGCATCTCCAATTTTTTCTTGAATTGCTCTCTTCACTTTTAAGGATAAAACTTGTAAAATTTCTTTGTAAATTTGTCTCGATGTGTAAGAGGCATTTTGGGTGCTCTATCTAGAATAACTACTTGGACCTTCTCATTGAAAGAAGCCACCAACTTAAGTAATTCAAGAAAATTACCATGATTTGTTGAGATTTTGCTTTCATCATGGCCTCTGAATGCACAACCTTGAAATGTAAAATTTCGAACGGTATCAATCAAGGCTTAAAGTTTCAATCGATTGTTTGCAATCTGCTGTGAAATATGATTGTCCAAAACTCTCTGAATATGCTAAGATTGATTCATAAGATCCTCACATGATCTTTCAAAATATATGTACATGGAATTGGGATCTTTACCCACATGATTCAAGAAAGTATAATTCTCTTGATTCTTAACTTTCTTCCAATTTTGAAACCCTTCAATAGTAAATGCATTCTGTGCTGGATGCCCACTTGGCTTATTAAAGAGATAGCATGGCAAACAAAATACAACATCTTTTGTTAGAGAATACTCTAACCAAGATGGATACAAGTTTAACCACGAAGGTTGGAAGCGATGCAAATGATTATCTAATCTAGATTTTGGATAGTTTGATAGAATACACTGATAAGGACTAGATTTGATATAAGCTCGTCGAATTTCATCATGTTGATCAACATGATATTCCCACATTTGTAGATACAATCTTGGATCTCGCTCTAAAGAATGGATATTAATATCCATAATTCCAACTCTTGAAGATTTCTAAGGATGCTCCTCGACAACTGAAATTTTGACATTAGATGAATGCAATGATTCACTAACTTTTGGGTTTGTAATATTTTTTCTTTTGAAGAATGCATCAATTGTAGATGATTTTTCCCATCTAAAGTTGAAAAATATGTATAAAAAAACCTTGACATAAATAAAATAAATCAATGCAATTGTACACTTAGAGGTGAACAATAGCTATGAGCTCAAATAATATATCATATGTTTATAGGCAAAGAAATAATAACATAACAATGTGTAGCGTAGTGGATACTCATCTCGATAAACTTCACAAAAAAATAAATATATCATATATTGTATTTTTTGAATAAAAATAAACTTTACTAAATTTCACATAAAAATAACTATATGATAGAGTTTATCTTCACAACTAGAAATACACATTTTAAAAAAAATAATATTACATTATCCTATTCTTAAATATACCGCATAAATCAACACATGGATATTGCACTTCTTCTAATTCAAAAACTTGTCATAATCTGAAAATTTTTAACGGTCAAAATTAAAAACACTAACTTGCTAATTAATGGAGGCAAAATAGAGATTGAATTAATTTTGGCTTGATCTTGAGCAAAAAGACAGATGACTTCTTCGCAGAAGCAGTTCAATCGTGAAAGGGACTGAATTTTTAAAGAAAAGGTTTTTGATGGAGTTAGACTTTCAACCGTAAAAGAAAAAATAGTCTTTGAAAGAGATAATTATTTTGCCAAGTTAACTTTTCAATGGAATATAGTTAAGAAACTTTCCAATTACCAATCATAAAAGGATTGGTAAGTGTTCGGTTGAATAGTTTGTTAGATTAAAGGGCTCACAAATAGTCATTATATATGTAAAGAAGATTTCTATTGAAAACTAAAATACTACTATTTTAGGGGTTCTAAAAATTCTAAGGGGCCCATGGTCCCCTTAGTGCATAGTGATGCTCCGCCACTGCTTGTCAACCATTAACTTTGCAATTGGATCATTGTCAATCAAGAAGTTAAATGAATTCTTGACAAATGTAAGTAGTAATTTTAATTTCTCGTTTGAACTTACAACTCTTATTTTTTCTAATGTCTTTATAATGAAAGTCATTTAAATTATGATATCTTGTATTTGATTTAGTGATCTACCATTGCATATGAAAAAAAGGGATCCCTAAGAGTTTTGAATCAACATTGTTTCAACACAACTTTGGGCTTTTGTTGTAAATTTGGGTCGGCAATAGACCGTCTTTCAAAAATCGTGTCATGTTAAAGTTCACTTAACTTATACCCAATCTATTTACGTGTACAATTAAAAATGTCATTTCAGTAAAACTCACTCGACGTTCCTTGAACTGGTGATATCTAGTGCTAATGACTTTCCCATTAACAAACAACCTCCTCACTGCAGCTAGGCAAGATCATGAGATTGAAATCTCTATTTTTTATTTTTTTTTTCTCATCTGCACCGTCTTTGTCAATGATAACATTTTTGTGTAACATAATAATCGCTCGTACTCCATAAGGATGTTATATCTAGAAATTGAATGGTTTCCTCATATTCTTGTATTTTGGCTGAACAAATGGTTTACTTGATATCATATGATCTTCCTGTTCAACAGTCAAATTTTAAAGTTGAATGCAATGGTTAACGTAGACATTGACAATTGACTTCTTTTGTTGACTGAGTTATCTTTGACAATTAAAATTTACTAAACATAATGAACTTGCCTACTTATCGACCGCCTCTAATTATGCCCCCAAAATTCAATATTAATCGAATAAGTGAGATTCTTTCTTATCTCCCGAATGTGAAATCTGGTTCCATCTTTCTTTTGTTACTTAGCCTCCCTTTTTTTAAAAAAAGGAGTTATATATGGAAACCATTTATTAAATATTATGATAATTAACGGAAGTTTTATATGGAAGTTACATATTCTGATAGTTATATATGGAAGCTTGATATACGAATAAATCGTTGGTTTATTAAGTCAAAATCAGATTACAAAATTTCCTTAACAATTCAAATTTTTCTTAACATTAGTGTTACTATAGTGACACTAATTTTACTATAGTTACATGAATGAGATTATTTTCTTTAAAATACTCAATACCCAAAATAAAGAATTCCACAATTTTAAATAGTAACACAAACTCGACCCTAATTTTCACTTATACTACCAATTGAAAATCTTTAGACGTATATTATGCAACATACACATTTAATTTTCATAAAAACATCAAAGATTTGTGCTCCGTAGCACATCTATTTTTACAAAATACAAGACAATAGAATTTTCATCGTAACGTCAATTTTCAAAAGATTTTATAGTGAAAATACAATCCACAAATTAAAATTTTACAAAATTTCTAATAGTAATAGACCGTTGACAGTTGAATTAGGACACTCAATACCAATCAAGAACATCAAGACATTGAAATTCTGAAATCTATTTTTCAATTATCACATAGTAATATGATCTATTTCATAGACACACAACCAAGGTATTTTGAATGTCTTGCACAATAAAGAAAAATAAGAAAATTGAATTATATAACACTTTAATTTAGTACTAATGAATCTCAATTTTTAAATTAGGAATGCAAAAAAAAAAAAAAAGGACAATTTGAACTATATATTATGTAGAAGTTTTTTAAAACCCTACAATAAACATCAACTTTCATATAAAATCACATACCTTAACTCCATTTCTAAATCCCAAAATTGTGAAGATATTTTGAATGCAAAGAATCGACTGTAACTTTGTAAATGAATTTCACAGTAAACATGAAAAGTAAAATCGAAATTGGGGTTGAGTTTGTATTACTATTTGAAACAGTGGAATTCTTCATTTTTGATATTGAGTATTTTAAGAAAAACAATCACATTCATGTCACTATAATAAAATTAGTGTCAATATAGTAACACTAATGTTAAGGAAATTTTGTGATATGATTTTGACTTAAAACACCAACAGTTTATTAGTACATTAAGCTACCATATATAGCTATCAAAATATATAACTTCTGTTAATTATCAAAATATTTAATAAACGATTCCTATATAATTCAATCAAAAATTTTCATATATACCTCAATGATCTAACTTATTCCATTACTGTACAAAACTAACACCGTTATGAATAATTTTGATATTTAAAAAATAAATGAACTTAAATACCTACATATAAGTTTAAATATGGACTTGTCCCAAAATAAATTTCTTTCCAAGACTCAAATCATTATAAGTCCATCTAAGAGAATTCATCTTCAATTTTCACTTTTAATTATTTTATGAGTTAATGAATTTAATTCAACCCATTATAAACCTAATCTATTATAATTCATTTAATACGTGAATGAAAAATGAATTAAATTTATTTTAACCCAACCTAATTTAACTCAATCCATAACCAACCCAACTCATCCATTTGCCACATCTAATTATAACACACCCGTCCCATAACAGCCTGGCCCGGCCCGGCCCAGTCCAGCCCAGCTATATAATGGGACAGGATCTCTAGAAGCTCAAAAAAAGAAAAAAACGAAACAATGATTTCCCAACTGACGTGTCTTTCATTCACACGGCGATGGAGAAACGGGAGGGAATTCTGACTGGGCCGTCGGAATAAATACAAAAAACTTGAATTATGCATACTAGCTTAGAAAGGCCAACTGTTTTCGCAAATTATACTCTTTAAGAACATGTTAAAGTTATTATACATACATACATAAACAAAGTCCTCACCCCATATACGAGAAAATCACAAAAGCTCCGAAAAAGTTTTATAAAGTTAAAAAGATTGGGGGAGAGACACAAAAAAGAGTGCATTGTTAATGCAACCTTGTCAATTCTTCTACTCTCTTCATAAGCTCCTCAACTGGAACACTCATTGCCTTCGAAATATCTTCCATTCGATTCCGGCCAAGATCAAGGAACGACTCGATTAGATCTCCATCCAAGAAATTTTTAGCATCTACGGTTTTCTTCTCATTGTAGAAAGACCTCCACTGCTCGTGACTCAATCCTCCAACACCCTTTATCACCTTCCTCAGTTGTGTCTGCAATTTCTCCAAGAACGCGTACTGCTCGTGAGGAAGTGAGGCAATGACCCCGATAACACCATTGACAGTGCCAAAAATGACGGTGGGAATCTGGCCAACATCAGAATCTGGCAATCGCATGACAAGAGAACCATGTCTGAATCTGTTGACAAATTCACCAAGGTGGTATTCACCAACCACCTCAAGACGGCCCCGCTCCTCATCAGTGGCACCTTCACTATTTTTTCGGACTGTGAAGAGGTTGAAATTATTCTCAGCACCAAGGTAAATGTCATCATCAAGAATTTCCACGGCTGACATCCAATTTGCATTGTAGTCACGAGCTCGCTCCTCGATTGCACCCTCCTCATGCTGGATTTAATACCAAATCAAAGGTATAAGCAGTGAAAATGGAGTAAAAAACACACTACTTGTCCCAGATTCGTAGATCAGACTTCCAACCACATGGAGAAGATACACCCACATGAAAGTGGTCTTAAGAACTAAAAGGACGATTTAACAATAGAGGTTTCTGATGTGTGCTTTGAGAGGGTTGACTGATTTACCTTGTAAATTAACAGAGAAATTGATTTCATCAGATCACCTACAACAATGAAATCTCCCCGCGTCTGTACATAAAGGGCAAGTATGTGCCCATGATGGCCGCATTCAGACTGCAACTCACGGGAACCATCTTCACGGAGCATCCACTTGTACAACTGAATCTTTTGGTTGATGGCAGCGAGCAGTTTACCATTGAAGGCATTTAGCGAGTAAACAGCCCCTTTAGTTTCCTTCTCAGCAATTAGCTGCAGCTTCCCATCTTCGACTACAAAAACCAATATTCGGCCCTGTAGTTGTTCACCAAAATACAAAATTTGAAGTGATTAGGCAAATAATTGGCAACTGAGGTTCTAGGATAGCCAAACTGCAAGTCAAGTGACTTGGCAAATAGAATTAGATTTAAGGACAACACCTGAAAAATTGTTGTCCATGAATTTCATTGGAATGAAGCATATCAAATGTTGCGTAGAACAAATAAAAACAAAAAATTGTTGTGCAGAACAAGGTGACCCAAGCCAAATGGTTAAAAAACACAGCCTTGTCTCACTCAGACCAAGATACAGTTCTACTAATTGGAGACATGCAACAGGACTGTCAGCCAGAAAGGTTCTGTTTGTGGATATGTGCACCCATATAGGGGTTTAACAGGTGTACCACAGATAGGCCCCACTAATTGAAGATGTTTTCACTCGTTTATCATAAGATCTCTAGCTCTACTTGCTTCTGCTCTCATTGGGCCAGGTAGGGGAAAAAAGTACACCCTCCCCCTGGCCCGCAAAAAAAAATAAGCAATAACAAATATGCCTAAGGCAAAAATGTAACATGTTGAATCTATAATAGGAACCAATCAGCTCTCTTTTGCCTTGTGTATGGTTTCTGTAGATTCAGAGACAATAAAATTGCTGATCATATTCAAGAACTTACAGCTCACATCCTACCGGTAAATAATGAGTAAATTAAGTCATCTAAACAACAGCTGTATTTGATCCCACCCATCCTACCAAATTTGTATACTGGTTGTTTGGCTACTAATCTCCAAGCAACTTCATCTTTTAGTGGCATGGTGACAGAGAAACATTATCTAATGGTCAGTTTCACATAATAAGGGTCCCATTAGAACGTTGTTGAGAGGTATAAAGAAAGAAAGTTTTCCTTGAAAGTGAATTGGCCCTCACTTTGCCTGTCAGATCGTGGTGTGCAGATATGTGAGTTAGATATTGGTCCCAAGTTTGAATACTTAGCCTTAAAGATGATAAAACAAGTTCGGTGTTCCATTTTATGACACTTGAAACACTGCCTCTTCAATTTCTCATAAGATTACAACAGCTATTTAGGCTTCTAAATCAGAAAATTCAGTGTATAACATCTCACCTTGGTTGGTTCGTTCTCCTCTGGCATAACATAAGCAGTCCCAACACAATAATACACGTTAGTATCATCAGAAAAGGAGCAGCTAAGTATGGAACAACCATACTCAAATTGGTCGAGTGGGTAAGTTGATATGAATTCAAAAGTTTGATCATCTAACAAGCGGACAAAATGCATTTCAGACTCTTCTGTATTTGACTGGTTATACTTCAAACTACACAGAGCAAAGGTCCGGGACTGCTCCTGATGGCAGATACGACGTGCATGCTCTCCTAGTGGTATAGAACGGATGTGAAGCTTCTGGATATCATCAATGGTGCCAATCGTTAACTCACCTTCTTTGGCAATTGCGAGGCTGTTGACCAAAAAAAGAGTCAGGCATGAAATCATGATTTAAAAACATAATAAACAATTGAATTCTTAACCAGAAGAATCTTTGACCTTCTTCACTCAATCCACTAGTGATGGATCTTTTATAGGTAAAAGATCCCTAGAATGTGCATGCACTTTGTTTGGTGGTGAAAATCATATAATATAACTAAAATTTTCTGACAAACCGATATTATATAGAATGTAATTTATAATTTCATTCCTTGATATTTTCACGAATTGTTTCTTGTATGAATAAAGCTAATGAAAATCATATGCAGCCATGTTTATGTATTTCTTGGAAGAACTATTATGTAATTCCTCTATAAAAAGGCTATAGCACTTTTTTAAATGAAGTTTTACTTGTCCCAATTTTTTTTCTTTTGGGATCCGGAGGACAACAACAAAATTTTGTCCCATCAGCCATGTAGATGTACAAAACAAAATATAGCAGGGTTTGGTTGAGCCAGTTTTATACACACAAGCATCGGTAGATATCATATTCAAACATAGCAGTTCAGACTTGACCACATTTTTAATTGCACTCAAATTTCTTTACTACTTGCTAACTAAGACTACTTATTCATCTGTTGTATTATTTCCCACACCATGTTCCAAGCCATACACTGCTCATGGTGTAATAAAAAAAAAACCCTGACACACATCAATCAATACGTCAATACTGCAGCAGTCATGGTGGTGAGATATACCACACAAGCCAAACAGCAATAGGATGGAAACAAAAGAGGCAATGAGCTTGTCCAGGGAGACCAGCTAGTTGCATAGCATAGCTCGTTCTATGGATAAGCTTTAGTTAGGCATTGGGTGAAGAGCAAACAAGAAGCCCAGATGAGGTGAACATATGATTGAGTTTCGAGACTGAAATTAACGATAATGAGGAAAGGAGTGACAAGAATGAGGAGACTTCAATTAAGAACAACGAGTTACCTGTCTGGAAAAGCAGCAGAATTGAAAGGGCACATATGACTGACTTCTTTCAGATTTACATTGCTGTAGAGTAGTTTCTTGTTACTGCTGTAAATGACAGTTGGTCTATCTGAAGCAGCAAACACGTGTGTGGCATTCTTTGATGAGAAAGTACGCAGTGTTATAGGTTGTGTCCCAAGAGACACCTTTTTCCTATCTGTTAGCTCACCCGAGCTCAGGCTCAATACAAAGTTTAAGAGATGACCGTCTCCAAGGGCACATAACAAGTAAGATATCTGAAAGAGAACAAACAACCAAAATTCAACCAAACAGATACACAAGGAACTTAGGAAATAAAATGGAAAAAGTTTATCAACACATCTTAGTGAGATGGGCACACATGCAAGTTCAAGAGCCATCACTCATTCAATACTTTGAAGCTAAACTGCTCCACAAGTCAATCTGATCTGGTCCACAAACATTCGTCCTAATTCGATGCCACACTAATCTTTCCACTCCAGTTTAGAGTTATTCTTTTCACTTCTGGATCTCCCAAAAGACATGCCCATTACAAGAAGTCAATGTATTGTTTCTTCCTATTCCAACCTTTTTTTCAAATTTTGAGAAGTTACACGGCAAGCGAATATTTAGATTTTACGTGAGAAATGTTGAAAAGTCAAATTTCTAACATAATGTGAATGCCTCAGATGCTCTTGCCTTAAAAATTGGCTTAGGAGATTGGGAGTCTTGGCACGAAACAGAGAAAGCACAATGGTGTGAGTCATAATGTGTGGAATTTCATTCCAAAATGGTTCATTCCAAAAAAATTCTAATGAAAATCCAGTCTACACCTGCATCCTCTTCTTTTTTTTCTTTTTTTTTTTTTTCTCTTTTTTTGGCCAGCCTTTGCAACATTCTGCCCCTATTGCAAACTTTAATTTTCTATCCAACAAAACCAAAGCACAAGCAAGAGAGGTGGTAGAAACGAAACTATGAGGTCAAAAATCCAGAGTAGAAAGCATACCCCTTCAAAGGAACAGAGAAGAACAGAGCGAGGTATTATTTCCCCTCCGAGATTCTCCTTCGTGATGAGATTCAGGTCAGGAAGTGAGAATATCCGAACACTTATATCTGTCCACATTCCAACTGCAGCAAGGTGACTGTAGTTTGGATTGTCACCAATTGGATTGATGTCGAGGCATGAGATATCATACTCCAACTGTGCATGTTTTAATTCTGTCAATATCCCATCACCGATTTCCAGATAAACCAAGTGGCCACCCCCAGTAGCCAATAAAACCTGTCAAAGAAATTGTAAAGCAATAATTCAGGTGTTTGATGCTCCAAAGAACATATGAAAGGGGATGTGAAACCATCCATCAAATCGTACAGTATATTAAAATATGAAAGAAACGATTACACTTGATTGCACAACCTAGATCCATGCTTTCAACACATGTAACGAGTCCAAAGCCCTACCGAACAAATATCTTGATAACCTTTCAATTGCTTCATTTCAATGACAAATTGGGCATAGGATCCTATGTTCATGGATTCGAGGGTCATATAATTATCGTGACTACTAATTCAGAAATAGGTCAAAAATTCACTTCTTGATCCACTGAAATATCAAACAATTTCTGCAATTTACACCGTAAACCTCCATGAAAATTCATAAAGCCGCTGATGTCATGTGGGCATCAAGTTTTCGTATGAGCTGGAAACAACACATTACGATACTGTTTGCGACATGCATCCATGACAACTTCCAACAATTTTAGTCTAGTGTTTGCAAAAACACACTTGTCATCTTCTCAATCCCCAAACTCAAGGTTTCGATGTTAACCAAGAAAAAAAAGCAAATTTTCAAATAAAAAGTTTAGTCATGATTGTTTTATGCTGTTTCCTTTGCAAATCCAGTTAAAACGTCTCGGAAAAGGATATTAACATTTGTCCTACAGAAAGATGGAATTAGAATGTTCTTCGGAAATACAACGCAAGTTGAAATTGATGATGCATCCAAGTGGAAACTTAAGAAAAATGAAATTGAATAATTAATCAATTCAAAGAATTCCTGAAAACAGAAAATATTATAAGCAAGGGTCAAGGTCGTGATACTAGCAATTGACTTGGATGCACTAAGATGTCTTGATGGCAGCGTCACGGACCAATATTGGAAGATACACACAAAATCTACATAGGAGAAGATGAACATGACAGGAGATTCAAGAAATATCACAACTTGGGTTGATTCAGAGATGTCTTGAAAAATTTGGCCGACACGCATGAGACTTGTAGTTTACATAGAACATGAAACGGTATTGAATCAAAAGGTGCCAAGTCGGAGACGACTCGACCGAATCGTATCAATAGCAACCGATACTCTGAACCAAGTTTGTCAAAACATATATCGTAGTGCATGTTGTTTTCTTAAAATAATGTGTTATGCCTCGTAATGTATCGTGTATGGCAAAATACGCATAATCTTTTTAAAACAAATATATATACATTTATAGTTTCAGGAAGTAAATTATATTTTAACTTCAATTCCATACAAGATTAAAAAAGACTCCATGCTTCATAAGACAATTTAACAATTCAAGTTTACGACATGATTTATCAATATCAAAATTTAAAGATTAGTAAAATTCAAAACAATCCATTCTTATAGTCTTATGTAGGAGTGTCAAAGGGTCGAGTTGCTCACAGGTCCCATTACCCAGACAAAATAAATAGGCCCGATAGTTGGCCCACCCGAGTTCGAACCCAATATCCTTCAAGAGAGGGCTTAAGCTTACCCCAAACCCATTACCCGGTTTGAAACCCGGCCCAATAGTCTGTCCGCAAAACCCGGCCTAAGAACCTGACCACCTGCTCGCCCATTCCTTTGAAAAAAAATTAGACTGTTAGACCATACAAGGGTAGGTGGGAAAACTTTGATAGTTAGGAGGGAAAAATGTTAAGTGCACAGTGCACTCAATGCACAATTACTCTTGCAGCCTTGCACAATTACTCATGCAATCTTGGTATGCCGTTGAAGCAAGAGATCAAAACATAGAAATAAGTCCCCTCAATGTCAAAATTCGAAATTTTAGAAATTTAGATATTATAAATAATGTTTTATTTTCTTTTATATGAATTAAACATACACGTTTTAAAGGGTACAATGGTGCAAATGATGGATAGGTAGATTTCAACCTGATTGGGATATGCTCATTCTATTGTGATACAGTTCCTCCCCTATTCATAAATAAAATTATTAATTATTTACTTTTTGTCCATGTTGACTTTGCTGTCGCAGTCCTCGCCTAGCCCGACCCGGCTCATCCCATGGACACCCCTAGTCCTATGAATCACTTTTCCCCAAGATCTTCAGTTTATAGACGACATCAATATCTTCACCATTAGATGCCAACAAGTCTTTACCTCCTTTGTCTTTTTCGACCTTTTGGATGTTTTCATCCTCTTCAATTTTTCTTTCTCCTTTAGTTTTCTTATTTGCGAAAATATATACCAATTATATGTGATGTTTATCTTTCTCTTTTTGTTGCTTTCTCCTTTTTGAACCTATATGACTCTTGTATTGCCAAATTTTTAAAATCGGAATCCTATTTTGGATCAATTGGGGGAAGCTACTAGACCGAAATCGTTGAATCGAATCGAAACTCGTAAGATCCTATCAACTAAAAAACTAAGACGAAAAACATATGTAACAATGTAAAATTGTCAAAAAAATTTAAACAAGCCTAGTATACATGCAAATAGAAATGTTATGACAGACATAGAACAAAAGATATTATTGAAATTGATAAACTACAATTTCAGCATTGAAGTGGGTTTAAAATAAAAAATGACTGCTAATCCTATAGTATTTTGCAAAGAATAATAAAAGAATTGAAGTATTTTGATTTAACTTTCAGAGAGAGATACAGAGGAGAGACTACAAAGTTGAAAGGCTATTGAATAATAATATTATTATGATTACGTGTCGATAGAGAAGATCAAATCTAACCGTTGCTTCCAATTTTTCAACGAGAGACGAACAAATAAAGAGACTTTTTCTATAGCTTTTCTCGTCCATTGAAAATTTTCATTTGGATTGAATCTTTAACTACTAAAACAAAAAATGTGCGTTGGATTGCTCAATAACTAAATGTGTTTAATAAACAAACCCAACAACTTGAATCAATAAAACCACAGTTCAAATCGGGATCCTATAATCTGGATTGCTTCTTATGAATTTGGAATTTTATAATTGACTCAGATCGATTTGCTTGTAGTGGATCATAGGATTGTAAAATCCTAAGATCCGGATTGATATATTGATAACCATCTTATGATACGTTATAAAACAATAAACTTATATAAAACGTATCATTTATCATTAGACTCCCACATTAAACGTATCATATATATCGTATCGTGTGTTGTAAGATACTAGAAACCATTCTTTGAACTATGACTATATAGTACTTCTAGAAAAATGCTAAACAATTTTTTTTTTTAAAAAGTTCAAAACTGACACAAAATTAAGGAAGTGGTCATGGTACACAGAAACAAGGAAACAAAATCAAATATTTCATGGCACAATGACATGCTCAAGGACATTAACTTGAAGACTTCACACAAGTAAAACACTTGCAGAATTCCAAGCTAAAAGCAACACATGAAAACTAAATGTGAGTTGTGTGATGACCCATAGTGCAGGATAAGTATAAAGGATGACTTGCCAACAGAAACAGCAGAAATCAGAAATCAGGTCATGTATAAGGCTACAGCCAGAGGATGCCATATTTTCATAATGTAAAAGAACATGGAGAATCTATTACAACTGAAAAATGGGGGTATATATACCCGAACAAGCTTTAACAATAAAAAAGGATAAGCTATTACCAATGTGCAGGCAATGATTGTGCTACATCATTGGCAGTGTTGTTCAAAAGGAATAAGAGATATGGGTGCAAAAGAATATTTGAGAATACAGCCTTACTGAATAGGTTATGGTTGGACAAAATGAAACTTCAATACAGAAACATATGGAATAGGTTATTGCCAGGCACCATGAAACTTCCAGAACGAATAGCTAGCCTAACATCTAATATAAGAATAAAAAAAGGTTGACCATGAATAAATGAAAACAGATTAAGAATATTGACCATGAAGGCCAACAGCCTCTCCCAATATTAGTAGAATGGTGAAGAAAAAAGTCAGCCTCCATCCGGACTTTGCCATCTGTGGAAATAGTGTAGGATAGTGCATCCAGAAAGCAGTGGTTCGTTTCATAAAACAGAGTTTAATCAGCCGTATTCATGTTGAAAGCGGCAGACGATGAAAAGTTCAATTTCTTGAAGGTTTTTAGGTAATACGAGTGGGTAACAGTGGGTTTCCAACTTTGGAGCATATGTGTAATATGTCGAGAGGGACCAGGAGTGCGAGCCAGGCACTATGCCCATAGATGGGTAGAATCCATAAACACATTCTTAGCTTGGATTGCCTCCACACATGTAGTCAAGATATTCTGACCCTTTATAATAAACGGCATATAGATCAGATACACCAACAAATTCCCGAGCTAATAGACACCAACAGGAATACTGTGATTGTATCTCTGATGCACCTTCTAATAAAATAAAACCCGGAGATAATGGAATGAATGAGAGAAGTGAAGCTGCAAATGGCCCAAAGAAAATACACCCTCTGTCCCATTATGAGTGGACAAAAAATGTAATCCGCCTCATCAAATGGTGCCATTATATTAAATATATCATTTTCCCAATTAGTGGGGTTCCTTCTGCTTCTTATGTACAGAATATATTTCATGAGGAGGGTTTGAAAGGATAAAGAATAATGTTTTACACTTTGAAAATGGACATACATTTTGGGATGGATTGCACGAATAATAGATAAATCAAGAGAATTGACTTAAATGATTTGCATATGTTTACAGAAGGCCTGATAGTGCACTAAAGAGGAAGAGTGGTGTGAAATCTATTGACTGTAATGCACATCGTATAAAGGAAACTGAAGTTAATAGTACAAAAGATATCAAATCTTGTAGTCGGATAGAAAATATGACTTGATGACGTACATTGGTGAAATATTATTCTTTTAGCCAACCCCAGATGGTTGGGAACAAGGCCCTTCTGAGTGGACTTGAGTTGAGAAGCGCACAAATTTTGTGAAAGACTAAAAAGGAAAGGGCGGTCAAACTCGGACGGAGGGAGACAATTTCAGGAAAAATAGCCGTAAAGAAAATAAAAACCGTTTGCACTAGGAAGTTAAAAAAATATTTAAAACTCTCAAGACAAATCTATAGCTGTATGAGTAGCAATAGCCGCACTTAACCATCCCACCATTCCGAAGGAATAGAGTAAGGGATGACCAATCTCACTCATAGCAGTCAACCCGTAGCCCTCGAGCGTAGGGGAAGATCACATACGAGGAAGTGACGGAATGGTTACTCCATCATGGACTTGAAACATCATTTTTTAGGCTTCTTGCTCACTCACACACCTGAGGAGCAGTCCGTTCCCATGGAATAAGTCTCACGCTTGCTCCTATCCACTCTTTGGTTATCTATCGGAAAGAGACGTAATCTTTCCTCTCTGTCCACAAAGAAATGATTTAAATGTATTCCTGCAAATCTGGAATCTGTCAAACAGTCAAAGCATTCTCATAAGGGGAGAAGATAAATGGTGATGTATCCAAAGACAATTCTATACCTAAATGATGATGCAACCCATTAACCATGAACTTTGCACTTGGAACTAATATTCCATCACCCCAATAACTGAACAATCCAATTGAACACAATAGAAGCCACTAAATCATAAAAGCCAAGGTTCATCAGTATGACAGAAAGAAAAAATGAATTCCTGTTGGAATCACTTAAATATCAGCATATGCTGTATAGGATTATTAGTACCAGTGAACCTCCCCAACCAACATTGACAAAGATAAAGGATTATTAGTATCAGAACTCCTCTTCAAGCAATGCTGACAAAGATATAGGATTATTAATTCGGTAATACCAGTGAACCCATTCACTTACAAGCAACATTGACAAAGAGAGTCAGAAATGAACCTGGGTAGCATTAGCAGTGGCAACATTGATTGAATATCCTTGTGGAGCTGTCCATTCATGTCGTAGTTCTCTCGACATAGAACTGACTAGTCTCACAGAGCCTGACGTAACCTGCAATGTTGATTTGTCAGAAACTGCACATCAATTGCAGTACTTGACTTACGGATCATCCTCATGTTTTCTATAATTTCTAACATGACAAGATACAGTTAATAAATTTGACCATGAGATCATCCGAAACAACATTTGATTTCAGGTTGCCTTCTTGGTCACCGAAGATGTGTGAAAGCTAAACTCTATAAGGGGAAGTTTGCAAAAGTAGAGTAGTCGTATTAAATTTTTTGTTGTCCGATTAAAAACCATAGTTAGCAAAAGCTGCGCTCGTGTAAAATTAAAATAGTTAATTTTGGTTTACCTCTGCTTCTCGCATTGCCCTGATAGACACTTTAATTATTGGTCTTCTACATACATGTCCAAACCATATAAGTCAATTTTCTCTTAATTTATCTTCTATTAAAGTTACTTCAACCGTTTCATGTATATACACATTCCTAATTTTATCATTTTCAGTTTTATCACATGTCTATCCTGTCATTCTCATTTCCATAGCACTTAGTTTTTGAGCATGTCATTTCTTAGATACCCAACATTCCATACCGTAAAGTATATTATAGGCCTAACGGTTGTTTGATAAAACTTAGTTTCGACTTCAGTCCTCAGACGTATGTGTGGATTACATAATACGCCAGATGCACCCTCTGCTTAGTCCAACATGCTTGAATTTTGTAACTAACATCATCTCCAATCTCTTCCTCCCTATACATAATCGATCCCAAAAATCAAAAGCGTTCACTCCTTATTATCTCTTGGTCCTCAATCTTTACAAACTCCGCAGTTGCATTTCTACTATTACCAAAATTGTATTCTATATATTCAATTATATTTCTACTTATCTAGAATCCTTTTATTCTACCGTTGCATATTGTTAATTTCTACTTTAGTTTCATCAACCAACACTATATTATCGGCAAATAGAATAAACTATAGAACTTCATTCTGAATGTGTTTAGTTAATTCATCCATAATCAAAGGCAAAAAAATACAAGCTTAATACAGAACCCTAATATGGGGCCTATAGTAATTGGGAAATCACTTTTTTCCTCGTACAACTATTCTCAATAAAGTTACTGCATCCTCATATATATCCTTTGTATCATATCTATTTGTAACTCTATACTTCTCTAAAATCCTTTGTATTATATCCCTGAGAACTCTACCATCGGCCTTCTATACGTTTATAAATACTATTTGGAGAATTTTTTTTCTCTGTACCATTCCATTAGTCTCCTAAGTAAGCATTGTTAGAGCATTCAACTCAAAATCAATTAGTGATGAGTGTAAAGTCCCCTTAAGCATATAAACCAACCTTGGATGGCCCAAATTATTCGATGTGGAATACAAGCACTTTTTACACCTTCCTCAAATGGGATTAGGGCTCGCACGAAGGGCAAACAAACATATAGACAAATATTCATATCGAAAAATTCAAATGGATAAAAAGACTTGGCTCACTGATCACACAAGGCTCAACTCTAATGCCACATTAGAGAATTCAGCTCAAAACTAAATTGGCAATAAGTGGAGAGAACCCTTAAACATATAAATCAACATTGGCGATCCTAATTATTCAATGTGGTATACAATCTCTCTTTACAAGTATATAGCTTCTATGTTGACCTACTACGTAAAAATCCAAATTGAATCTCACACACTATTGTTTCAAGTCTTATTTGTTACTCGATCACTATCTCAAAAAGTTTCATTGTATAGATCATTCCCTTCATACCCCGATAATTCATGGAACTCTAAATGTTCATTTTTTTCTTATATACATGTACCAAAATATTCTTCCCCCATTCATTCAACATCTTCTTAGTCATTGTAATTATTTTAATTTGTCAAGATACTTTTAACATCCGATAAACACTTCCAAACCTAAACCGACATACCATTCGGTCCTACTGACTTTCCATTTTTTGTTGAAAAAAAAACTTGTTTTTGCTTTTCTCTCCATAGTTATATTTTCTAAGACCAAAGTTCTCTCTATTTTTCATTTAATAAATTCTCAAAGTAATTTTTTCATTTTGTACTAAGACCCTCAAATCCTTACGTTTAATACACTCAGTATAATTAAACTCACAAGTTTTTATTTCCCTAGTTATTCTTTTACTAGATTTAGCAAGTTCACATATACTTTCTCTTTATCAAACTTATGTTACATTTGATATGATAGAATCTTCTAGCCCGCCAAAATTTATGCCCATAAACTTGGCCGAAAAAGTGGAAGGAAAGATAAACAAAAATATGTGTTGAAGTTTTCTTTATCTTCTTTTATATCCCTTACCATATATGTATATATTTTATTGGCCTTTTGAATATGATGCATAAGTTACTTCTATTTTCCATTCGTACTAAACATTAAAAAAAATTCATCCCTCATAATTTTAAACACTTTTACCAAACACAAAAAGAACAAAAAAAGAGTTCTTTCTATTGCAATAGAAATTGTATCTCACCTATTTTCGTTCCTATCATTTTTCCATCTATCCTACCCAAGCCATTGTAATAAATATCCTCATATGATTTATACTAAACTTTGTTATTGCCTTTTAACTTCCTTATTTGCAAGCTTATATTGCTTAAAGTATCTTCGTTTCCAGTTTTTTTACCATGTTTCATAACACGGTTATTTGCATTGCGGTTTACTCCATATCATTCCACCAAGAAGTTTTTCAGCTAATGATCTATTACATTTTGATTCTTTGAAAAGCTCTATTGATATTCTTTTAATACATTCTACTATCTTATTACCCATTATATTCAACATCTAAATTCCATGTCGATTCTTTTAGCATTCTATCTGTAGATACTATTTTTTCTCATTTAAATTCCACCACCTAATTTTTGGATTTTTATATTATTTCTTTGTTTTATATGATTTTGAATATATACATCTAATACAAGTCTCCTATGTTGCGTTGTCAACCTCTATCTTGAAATAGTTGATAAACGATCTAATTTTCTAGTCAAGGAAAAAAAAAAATTATTTGGCCTTTATTTAATTCACTTTTATAGATTACCAGATGTTCATTTTTTTTGTTAAGATAATCATCTCATATTACCAACGAGTTGTTGCCCAATGGATAAGAACACAGATTTTTTGGCTCTATAGTTATGTTCGAGTCTCCATAACTACAACAGTTCGTTGGAGCTGAATCTACTCTTTAGTGACCAGAGCACGTGGTGAGACCTTAACTTCGGCCCCGATGTAGGTGCGGTGGGGTCCCTTGTAGATAGCTGTGTAGTGTTGAAGAACAATGCTCCTTGACAGATATGTGGAATAGCCTATTTACATATACATTTTCATGATCAAAAAAGATAACCATCTCATATTTTCTCTGATCTTGTCCTATATGGCTATTAAGATCTCCTATGATGTCTTCAACACATTAGATCATATATGTGTGAAAGGATCCAAAATAGAGTTTTCATTTATTCACAAATCCTACTTGAGGTAAATAAGCATTAATAATGTTCAATATATTTTCTCCTATTTCCTTTCCTAAAAAAAATTAGTCTTTTCTTGATTTTTCTCTTAAACCATTTAATTTCATGTAAGCATATTATATTAATGTTTCTCCTAATTAGGATTTCAACTAACTCAATTTTTTTTACTTAGGATTCGTAAACCCCAAGTCACCAACCTAAGTTCACTATACTGAACTAGCTTTTTTACCTGTGTTCGTCCAGAGTGACATGACAACCCTTGCAACTGAGCAACTAAAATGTGGCATCCCTAGCCCATTTTTCATCTTTTTGAAATACCATGGTGCGAATGCAACACATTTCTTGAGGGTATGCCCTAGAATTTACGCGCCTATTCTTAAGACTTACGTTAATATTGGATCTGAAAAGTTTTGCGTTGACTGTCACTGCATTCTTTATCCAAAGAAAGAAATCAGGTTTCCCTCTTGTATTCATGGGTACAGCCTTAGGTATCAATCACATGTAAATATCGCTAGTTGTGCAGTTAAAAGAGGGCTATTTAGCCCAGAAAGTTGACTGAGGAAACAGAGTGCAGTGCAAATACACTATTTGACTGATCCAGCTAGATTTCTAGTTTAATAATATGTGTTTCATGAAACATTAATCTGAATTTCTATTGTTTACACCATTTATCCGTATGCATGAGCGTGAAGAGAGAGAAGTATGAAAATTAAATTTACTGAAGTGCTACACAAGGTCCAATTTTAAATTGATATTACAAAATCTATATAGAACTTGAGACGAACATTCATTTACATGGGTTGAACTGGAAAAACATCCATCTAGAACTATAAGCACCAAAAAGAATTTAAGCAGCACACCAATACCTGTACAAGTTGATTGTATACAGCATCATGGCAGAACAATGTCTGTACTTGGGAATAAAAACCCTCTATCTCAGTTTCTTCCAGCTCATCCTCAAGATTCATCGCCAAAATCCGAGTCTCGCTTATAAAACTTACAACCAAGAAAGTGTCATATGGATCATCAGTAGCTGATCTTAATGACCACATTCCTTTGATGCCTTGAAGTTCTACTGATGCCTACAAGGTGGCATTTATGTATAGCTTGAGTTCTACGAGTAACAAATCAAAGGTGAGGGCGAATTTGTCCGAAATAAAGTATGTAGTGGTTTAAAAAAAAACAGACCTGTTCATTAATTCCAATTCCATTTCGAACTATGCGCAGAGAACCATCTTTGTAGGCTCCAGAGCAAGTCACAACCTGACCTTGACCTTGCCTCTCTAGGTCAACCACACAGAAGTCAACAATTGGTCCCAGATTGACATATCTTTCCAGAACTTCTACATAAGAACCTTTAGCATCCGGACGAAGATTAATTTTTACGAGCTGGATTAGAATGTAGAAGCAGAAAATAGAGTTAATATTAAGTATCACTAATGAACCATACATCTAAGGAGACCAAGAGGAGATTATAGTTTAAGACTCACCATCTCACAGATAAATAGGCAAAAAAGACAGTAAGCATTCCAATATACAATCTAATATCAGTTTCAATCATGAAAACAGGGACTCAGCAAAACAAGAAACTTACAAATTTCTTGTTAAAAGCAAGAACAAGGTGTATCTATACTACTTCTAAATGTACTTAAACATGAAAAACTTCTGTTTTCTCATTTTAACCCTATTTAATCTATTAAATCCAATTTTGTCCTAAAGCTCAATTGCTACAAAATGTTTATTGACCCTACAGACTCTCAGAATAAATATCAGTTACGTTTGGCACTTATCTTCCATAACTATTGGAGTGATCGGTGAGCTCTAGAACGTCAAACACTCCTCGCTCCTAGGGCATCGAAGAGACCCTTCACTATTCTCATGTAGGGGGCCAAAACAGTTCCCAAAATAAAACTCTTGCTGCTTATTATCTCGCTGTGGTAGAGGAGGAAGACAATTTGAGGATCGAAAGGATGACAATCTGAGGGTGAGGAGGATCAAATTTTACACGTTATGAGCAGTGGTGATTTGATGGAGGATAGCAAGAAGATTGTAGCTAAGCTCAAGAGGCTTGTAAAAGGGGCAAATTGGGCTAATGCTGGGATTTCTTCGACTCAAATTTGTAGAGCTCCTTCTGGTTTGTGATTCTTTGCCTTCTAATGTTTAATCTTATTTCATGGAATATTAGGGGTATAGGAATGAAGATTACCAATCCCGTTTGAGACGGTTAATTAGAAATTATGGTGCATGTCTGGTTTGTGTTCAAATCTTGCTTCTTCTAAATTATAAAGGTTTAGTAGACTTCTTAATATGAGTTCATATAATAGAAAATTGTGGATGTTTTGGGATCACAGAATTTTGGCCTCTGTGATTGACTGCGAACAGTCCATTGCGCTTTCCCAGCGTCCCAGCCTTATCAGGTCAGGTAAAATTCATCTTCAAATGATTGTGTTATTGTTAATCATGTATAGGTGGTTTGTGTTATTTCTTATTGTAACTATATTCCTGTTTAAACCGATGTAGGCAAACGTTTATTATTTTAAAGATCTTGATAAAGAATTCATAATTTTTGTTAGGACCTAGTTTTGAAAATTTATTTGTACCCATTTTGAAATTTATTTGTGGTACTAATTTTTTCTTTTGCTCCTTTATTTTCTTTTTATTTGTTTTAGATTTCTTAATCAATTGTAACTTTGTTAGGTATTCTTGGTTTTAGGACTTATTTTTTGGATTTTTTTTACACTATACATAATCCTCTTAACCTTTAACCTCTATCTCAATCACTATTCCAGATATGTCTTTGTTGTTTTTGGATTGAACCTACTGATTGGGAAGTCCAGATGCAAAGAATCATAGATCATCAGGTGGTAGCAGTGTTATTTAAAGCGTAAAGCGAATTGAAGCAAACCAGTCTCTTGAGAGCCTAGGCGAGAAGTGAGAAGCAAAGCGAGCATTTCATTAAAGTAAAGCGAACAATATAAAAAATAAATAAATATTTTAGTTTCATACTTTGATTACTCCAAAATATTCAAGTTTTAACTTTACAAATATAAAATATTTAAATGCAATCAAAATAATAAACATCAACATATTTTAAATGAATAAGATATTAAAAATTGAATATTATTGTATTCTAAAAATAATCAATTGACATAATCACGTCATCTAAATGTAAAGTTAGCAAATATGAGTTCGACTTCCACTGTGATTGATTAATATCACCACTAAACAAAACACTCACAAATTGATTAATCAAATAGAGCATATAGCAATTGATTAATCAAATAAAGCATATAGCAAATTGATTAATCAATTTGATTAACCAAGCAAATTGATTAACAAAAGCATTCACTTCAAAACAAGTATTCAACATTATCTAATCATAATAAAATAGATTATCATATGATACTGTTACACGAATCAATTAATTTATTTTATACATATACACATATAACATCATCTCTGTTAGGATTTGGTTAATGTTAAAAAAGGAGGAGGAGGAGGAGGAGGAGGAGGAGGAGGGGAGAAAGGGATGAGAAAATAAAAAAAATTGCAGTTAAGCATTCGTTTTTCTCGCCTGGCTCGCATCTATACTTCGTTGCCTAAGCTCGCTTTTTCCTCGTTTTACTTAACCTCGCTTCACCTTGGATGTTCAAGGCGACCTAGGCTCGCTTTGCTTCTCGCCTAGGCTCGCTTTTCACAACATTGGGTAGTAGGATTGAATAATATTGTAATTAAAAGAGCGGATAGGATTGAATAATTGAAAAATGGGTGGTCAAGAATCTTTTTTTAAATTTATTAAGGCATTTTAAGTTTCAATGTCTATCATATAATGCTCAAGAGAATACTGGATGACAACGCTAGGAGCCATATGACACAGAAACTTTGATTTTGTATCGAAGTTTAAGTTTCTTAGAGAAAGTCATCAATTGTGGATGCTAAGCAAGCAAAACCCAATTTATATTGAACGAACAATGTAGCCATGGGTGAAATTTACTAATCACCAAGAGTCTACTGCAAAGCTGCAGAAACCAATATTTGAATAGCAAAAAAAAAAAACAATATTTATAGGGAAGAAGAAAAAAAGCATAGAACCTTGCATCCTATTTTTCGAGTTAAATCACTCATGAAAATAATAGTAGTTAATGTTGCATGAATAGTGTTGTGCTACAAAACTGCTGCAGTATTCACTCTATGCTCTCCAGAAACTCAAGAGAAGTGCTTGGAAACAAGTTTTGGGACTGGTTCAAACGTTGCTCCTGGAAGCATATTTCAACATATGGTCATTTTTGGGAAGTATCGGATACGCATTTGAGAGGATTTAGGTGAGAGTGAAATCTTTTCGTGTCGAATGATATCACTACTTCCTAGAAGCATTCCTATTACTCCTACCGATGAAGCCATTTATGAATTTGGGTTTAGGAACACAATTGGTAGGTTTTGTGAACCATGAGCCTGAAGTTTTATTAGAATTGTCCACTACAGTTAATAGGATTTACTTGAATATAACATAGGCTTTGATTATGATGTACTATGATATAGTGGCTGATAGATTTGAAGCCGATAATTTGAGTTGTTGAAATATTGCTTGGATTTGGTCGTTAAAATTCCATTGTAATCTTGACAATCGATTAAAGAGGTTTGACTTAGTCTTTGCCTATTCAAGATTTTACAAATATCAAACTCAAGCCCCACTCGCTGCTATGACTTGGGAATTGCTTTTTAACTTTATCTTGATCCTATTAAGACTGCTGCCTACTATTTTGTTTTCTATTTTGGAGGGCTGCAAAATTTTCTTAGAATGAAGCTACTATTTTAATGGTGGACATGTTTGTGATACGAGAAGGCACCCATGGGTGTTTTTCTTTGCTGGTAAGGATTTATGAGTAAAAGGAATGAGATATCTTCGTATGCTAGTGATGCTGATTTAACCAGCTAAGATATTAGCTGCATGTACAAACTTCTTTTTGGGAGTCACTTCCCTGTGAGAGACACCACACAACTTTTATTGTTGTTCAAAATATATAGTAAATGATAACAAATTACAAAGGTTTTAACCAAGAATCACAATTTTATTTCGGTGAATTGTTTCGGTCACCTAGGAAACGAAATGTTTCGACGTGTTTCGGAAACATTTCGACCCGTATTGAAAATAGAATGAAAAAAAAAATAAAAAAATTAAGAATTATTTTTTCAAAACATTGATCAAAATATACCAAAATATCTTGAAATACTTTAAAACATTCTAAAATAATTGTGCAAATGCATTGAAATATAACAATATTTTGAAATATTATGTAACACCTCGAAATATAATTTCGATTCATTTTGAACTCCTTAGAAACGGAAACGTTTCGAATGTTTCGACCATTTCGAAACGATATTTTGATCTTTGGTTTTAACATGACATTTCTATTTCAGCCCTCAATAGTCCTTAAAACTAATCCACATTTATCGTTGGGTCTACATTGGACTAGCAAATCATATGGATCTTATAAAATGTCTTCTCAAATGCTTGATAATTTATACTCCAAATATGGGGGTTCTATTGGGCGTGTCAGATAGGACCATTAGATTTTGGCTAAAATCTTAATATGGTTATTTATGGATAAAGGTTGCATTTATCATTTAGAACTTACCTGTCACATTCTTGCTATTTTGCAGGCTCACACGTAAAAACCTTTGTGGTTTATCCATTCAACCACTTTTATCTCCCCTCCCTTTCCCACACACCAATTTGCTTGAACAGGTACTAATTCTATCTTTTCCTTGGTTTGTCCTATATACGGTTTCCTTGTAGTTCTACTTTTTCTTGGTCAGCTCGAACATAACTCTTATATCTCTTCCTTGGTTTGTTCTATACTTCTATATATTGTTTCCTTGTAGTTCTTTTTCTTGGCGTGTTCTATATGCAGTTTCCTTCTTTATCTTTCTAGGCTACAATCTAATTATTGGGGTTAGCAGAAAATTATTTCCTACCCACAATTGATATGCTTAAAAATGTTGCTCGCAAGAACCATATATCTTGTTTTTGAATCCCTGTGCATTTGAAAAGTTTGGAGTTTGACAACAAAAAATTCTAGGTACTTGGTTATGTTTGAATGTATAGATTGAACTTCTAGCTTGGGCTTTAGTTTGACAGCATATTCATCTATTCTTACTGATATTATGTCTTGCTAGGGCTTTAGTTGTAATTTTCATTTCTGTCATGTCTATCTTTGCTGCTACCGGCTTCACTAATATTTGAGGTTGTGGAATTTTTTTACTTCCACCAGATAGTTATACCTTTACTAGATAATAATAGCTAACTTTGAAAATAAGTTATGACTAAGATCAAGGTACCAAAACGGTTTGTTATAATCAATTTTCCAAGATATAGCTTTTATGCATGATTGTTTCTTGGTTTTGAAAATGCTCTAAAGGTTAGGCAAAACAAGATTGTTTAAAAGTGAATTCTTTTGATGAAAATTTTCTGTTATGTAACAAATTTTTGGAGATAACTTGAAAAAGACATCAAACAAATGATATCTTTAATCCTTATTATAAAATTGGAGCATAAATGTGCTTTAGTAAATATGTCAACTGATTCCAGTAGATTGTGTGAGATATAGTTAGTCCTGGAAAAAATTCTTGCACTTTTTTCCCTTGGAACCTGTTTCAGGTCAGTACTAAGAGATTGAGTGAGTGAGACACATTTTTCTTTGATTTGTTATGTATCACTTTGATATAAGAAGAAGATTGTGGTAACAGTGACACACTACGACATAATTGAACGAAAAAATCATAATCCACTGGAAAAATTTTGCTCAAATTAATTAATGCAATCTAAGTTACTAAAACCTAGGAGAATTTACCAAACAACTTGTGATTTTAAGTGATTATTTTATACTTTCATAGACGGTGTTTGGCTTTGTGTGTGATGCTCTTGTGCATAATTGCATGTGAGGATGTGCTATTCTACCTGCAAAAACGTCTTTACTAGCTTCGGTATAACTTTCCATTCCTTAGGAGTAGTAAAAACATTTATGTGAGATTATTGGGGTTCTATTCTAGATTATGCATCGAAACACATCCTTGGATACAAATGCCATGTTAAAACAATTACGAATGCTTATATGCTATGTGTGAGAGGTTTTGTTTTTGTTGACTACAAGTTATTTATCATTATGGAACTGCACCATTGTTTCATTTGTGCCTGAAGCATTTGTGGACCACGGTTATCAGCTATTCTGCTTGTAACTATTAGATTTTGACGAGAATTGTTTATAATGCCATGATGGTTCAATGCTTATAATATCTAGTATGAGGTGGGAGGAGGATGATTACCATTCTATTAGAAAAAATATTTGTTTTTTCCTTTATTATTCAAATTTAATACCATGCTACTTAACCAAAAAACGAATTTAACTCCATTGTTTCTAGCGGGTTGTTTGTTCCCCTTTGGACAAAATACTTTTGGTTTGCTATTGGAATCAGATTGCCGCTCACCTTTTTGCACAATAGTTTTTGGTTGTAAAATTTGATTTCACTAGGGGTAACTCGATGTGAGAAGTGATGGATTTGGAGGGGAGAAAATTCAATATGAATGGTTTTGATAAGGATGTTGGTAGCCGTTGGATGAGTTTATTTTGAGACCGTCAGATGAGCTTATTAAAGTCGGCCCTGTTTTATATTATAGATGACTAAGGGGTATGGACCATTAAAATACTTATTGTTCGGGACTGTGGTGTTCACTTATTGTTAATTTCAAGTTTGATTACATTTGTTAGTATAGAAGATTATGTTCACTTGTGTTGACAATATAGGAAAAAGGTCTCAAGTGTCAAGTTCTTGATTCCCTCCATATCAATTTCTGGATAGATAAATGGATCCTATCTTTGTCAAATTTCTCTTTGTTATATGGTAAATCAGATGATTATAAGACTGATACAATTGGTGAGATATTATAAGTTGTTGAAACAGGGTAACGGAAAGAGGAGATTACTACCCCTTTAGCCCCAAGCTTAAGAGAAGGCAGTCATTTTTTCCATTCAACTTGCTAAGCTACAAGAGGAAGATATCAAAGTGTTATATTATGATAGAATATTATCAGTCAAGTTTAGATCTCTGTTTTCTGGAACACAATAGCAAGAAGAGAAAAAGGAAACAAAAAACTACCGATTAGTTTTACAAAACCCATGGCCTTTATATCTAAAAATTGAGTGCACATCCTAAGATTAAACTTTTTTGGTAAGGCATGTACATATACTTACAACGCTCACTGCAACTCTAATATCAAATATGTTGAAAAGAAAATGAAACTATAGAATGCATGCTCATCTGAGTTGGTTTGCTGCCAATATGGGCTATGAAGTTGATTAATACTCAAAACATCTCACAGATTCAATACATTTTTTTTTGATAGGAAACAAAACTATTATTAAAATGAAAAAGAGAGTTACAAAAGACATGTTAAGAATGGACAAGTTGTCCTAACTAAAGACACATACAGATTCAATGCAGAATAGTTCGCTCTCTTAATGATCCACATACAACGCACGCATGCATCAACTAGTTAACTCAAAGATGGACATGACACGCATGACATATGAGGGAAACAAAACCTGGTTTAAATTCAATAGTACAAAACAAATGGATATAATTGTCTTAAAAACCTACCATTGCTGATTATACCAAACTATTCACTAAACAACAATATTCAAAAACAGGAATGCAGCTATGCACTTTTTTCTTTTTACTATAATGAACATTTATAATTCCCTCCATTCAGGCACATGAAACACAACAACCCTCAATACAAATTATTTAGTCTTGTGATATAGATTTGTCTCTCCCTTTATCGCTTTATAAAGTCATAGCTGAGTTTGATCAGATTTGGTTATTTTCTCTGGTAAAATTCAAGGACAGCCATGTCATTTTTTTCAGGTAAATCCAAGCCAATCATGGACTCCCTAAAGGGCCCAATTTATATTGTTTTTTGCCTTTCTCTCAACTTCCTCTATTTTTTTTTTTTATAAAGAAGGATTTTATTACAGGAGGAAATCAAAAACAAAATAAATGTTAAGTACAAGATACCCTTGACAAAAGCAAAAGCAAAAGCAAAATACATGTCAAAGAGAAGACACTAAAAGAAGAGGAAAGAAACTAAAGGAGAAGAACTGCCCCCTAATTCAGCTGAAGATACAACAAAGGCAACACTCTAGAACTTCCTGTGGCTTTGGTTAAAAATGAAGCCATGAATACAATTCTTTCCTATACTAACAATAATTTTGAAGGAAGATAACAACTTTTGACAATTCTTAACCTCCTCTGTATCCAAAGACAGCAAAGAAGTGTCATCAACGCACAATTCCAGAGTACCATTGCTTCCTTTTTCTTTGCAAAACCACATAACTTAATCTAAAACTGCTTCTCCCTTGTAGAAGGACAAACCCAAGCCTCACCAGTCACCTTGAATACATTATTCCAAAAACCTCATGCAAATGAACAGTACATGAATAAATAAGTATCCTATTCTTGAAACTTCAAGCATCTCCACATAAATAAAGCTATTACTCCATGACACCACTTCAATCAGTTTGCATTACACAGAGCCAATCCATCTTAAAAAACTTCCCTCATTTCACCTTTAATTGGTGACAACATAAAGATGAAAGAATATAATAGATAAAGAGACAAAACACAAATATCTTAAGAGATAAACAATAACAGGAGAAATCTCGATCTATGCCCGCAGGAGCATAGGAAGGGTGGTAGCAAAGAACATCACGTATCAAGAATGACACATATTGATGCATGCCACCCCCAACAGCCATCACCTTAAATTCTATTATTAGTCTTATCTCCTTCGTCTTATTATCTCAAATGTAATACCTTCTGAGCAATAACCTATACTACAACCTGGAACTATAAAATGAAGCCCCACCCAGCTCAGGCGTGAGCATATTTGGGAGAAAAATACTCCGAGATCATGAATCCTCAACCCATCCAACAGCTGCCCCATTTCTAACTTGCTTGTGACAGAGAGAATCCCAAAAATCTTATCACTTGAAAAAACAAGACTTGTGAAGTGGGGAAAACAAGAAACCAGCACTTTAATGACAAAGGCAATATCATTTGTAGCATCCAGAAACAAGCAGATACAATTGGATGGCGAATTCTTACGGGGTGCAAGAAAATCAAAGGCACTTGTTTCTGTTAACTAAGTATATGGGGAGGAGTTGATGTTGTAAAATCCAAATAAGGAAAAGATAAAATCAAGAAAATTCTGTATCAAACACAACAATGAAAAATAATGAAGATACTAACCAGGAGAGACGAGTTCAAGTTAAGAACACTCCAAAGACGAATAGCTGGTAAATGGTGTATGGTGAATTGCCACACAAAAAATGCATGATTGTCAACTAATCCGCTAGAGCAAATTTTATTAGGTGACTACAAACATAAACACTCCCAGGCAGAATTTAGTTCTTTCATTGGCTGTGCTTTGTTGTGAAAATATACTTCCATTACATTCAACCCAGCAAAATAATGGGCGAGTTGGGAAGCAATCTAGCAAATATTAAGAAAGAAAATATCAAATAACTATCACACAACTGTATTGGTGTTAAATAGAAGTCTATAGAGAACATCAGGTCAACAACTTAAATGAAGAGAAATTGCAATTGTTTTTCATCCCTTTCCTGCTTGGTCAAAGCTTGTAATATTGGCAAATATCCAGTTCTAAGACATCTAGCCAGTTACTAATTCATTCTGTCCCCCAACATTTTCAGAAATTCCATGTTGGCAAGCCCAATGGCATTAAATGCGTCCCCCACATCTATGCCACAGTGAGAATGTAATATACCTTATCAAAAGATCTAGATACAATCCAACAGAGATGTATGTTTTTTACATCAAATAACCAATTTTCAAGAAATGCGCATTACACATACCTGTGAATCTCCATAGCTTGAGCCAATATAGACGAATGCATTATCAAGATATGATATTGTTGATCCAATAGAAGTTTCCCCCAAGAGCTCAATTTTGAGTCCAGTAACTCTAAAAAGACAACGCACATCAGGAAAAAAAAATGTGTTTAAGCAATGCAAATTGCACACAGGAATAAACTCCTCCTGTGAGTAGAGTTCTACATGGATAAATGTGCAAGGATAGGTTTGCCCTTAAGCATTTTTACACTTCAAAGAAACTAAGTAATCATAAACACAGCATTAAAGAACTCACACTCACTTTTCTTTCTCATGGGTTATAACGAGCAGGTGAAGCAACCCGTTGTGATCACCAAGTAAGTACCGAGAACCATCAGCATCAACCCTTCCATAGGCTCTTGTGATGGACTGGAAGTTCACATCACATGGAATCATAATAAGTAATCATAATTTAATTACGAAATTTGCTTATATTGTACTCTCAGACAAAAGAGAAGGGGCAGAAGGGATTGTAGTGTGTGTGTGTGTGTAGTGTGTGTGTTTGTGCTTGAGTGACTTACAGGTCTAATTGGGATTGCTTTAAATGAAGAAGCACTACAATACACAATCGTTTCTTCTCCAATAATTAGGACACCGCAAAGTGGTGGGGGTACTGGTATTAGCAAATCGGCACCATTATCAAGATTGTTCTGAGACCATGGACCCTCAACAAAATCTTTATCCTTCAAGGCAACCTCATATGTTTTGACATGGCGAGCATCCTTGTTATCCTGCCAATTATGACATCCAAATACACAGGGCAGAGCCAGGATCTTTTGTTAGTGGGGCCAAAACAAAAATAAAATAAACACCAAAAGATAACAAACAAATTACATGTTTAAGCATGAGAAATATATTACAATTCATGATTAATTACTCTATGACAAATTTAAAATCAAAATCTCAAAAATTGTCTATAATTGATTCATGATTAGGTTTCTCAGTGATTTCCTTCAAAGAGTTCTTCACAAAGTGATCACTAATTTTATTGCAAAGCCTAATTGAAATCATCCGAAATGTATTCTTTGAAAATGAAGAAAACACTCCTTTGGGTTGTATTAGAAAATTTTACAATTTACATCTCTTTACTCACTTACAAGCCATTAACTCACCGGGAGGGGGGGGGGGGGGGGGAAAGTCAGGCAACCATACAATTATTTTAACAATCAAAGAAGTTTATTAAACAAAAGAGAAGTATTATCTTTGATAAACATGTATAAGGGTTGGGAATTTTCACATTTCTTTCACAAAATCTAAACATAAAATATTTTTTTTATTGGTTAAGGGGACAATACTGGACCACTAACTTACCGGAAAGCGAAAGATATGGACCATTACATTAAACTTTCAAAAAATCAAGGGGAGGCAATTTACTAATTCAAAGAAAATCACGGTCTTTTATACAATATATACATGTGGGCTGTTGAAAGGTGAGTGGGGCAACTGCCCCCCAAGCTATAAGAGGTAGATCCACCCCTGCAAACATGATAAGCTAAGATACTCCACAAGAAGCACCTGTGATGCCAAAGTTCACAACCATAATGTTAACACATTTTATAGGTTGAGGTGTAGAGCACAAGAACAGCCAAAAGTGAAAACAACCAACACCTTTCACAAGTAGGTAAATGTATCCTATTACCTGGAAGGTGCTGTAAAGGACTTACAGGGATACATACAAAATATAAATCAACCTAGATCTGTTAAGGCACTGTTATCAATTGCCAACTATAAGGGAAAATGGTACATAAATAACATTTGAAGCTTTTAATTTAGAACAATTGCAACTCCTGGATAAAATAAAGATGTCAAAGCAAAACTGGGACCTGGTAAAGGACAGCAATTGTAGGTTTTGGGCAACTATAGAGAAATTTGATATCCAAAACTTGAAGCTCCTCAAGCCTGAAACAAAGTGACCACAAAAGAAGCAAAGTTGAAGACATGATATTAAATCCACCACCCAATGCAAGAGCAAAATAAAGCCAGAACTCTATACAGTGTGCAAAACAAAAAAAATCGTTTTCTTTTGTTAGATAGGCAATGGTCAAACCATTTGCCGAGCTAAAACATGGACAGAACCAAATCAATGGTAATCGGTCTATTATATTTTGGAGTCTATCTCACATATATTCTTGGCATTGACCTCATTCAGGTGCTCATTTACAAACTCAGAGACACACTGCAAAAAAATTAGATAAATCTTTTCTACTGGTGAAATTGCTGGTTGAAGATATAAGACAAGTGCCCAAGTTTTGATAAGAGATTATGAATCGAAAAATTTAGCAGCGGCTGCCCTTGAAATGAAAGATTTCAGTACTTGAAAGAAATTTCATTCACCCCCTCCAAGACTTGAATAAAGGTGGAAGATTCAGCCTTCCAGCAGTTGAGAACATCTAAGAAACAGTCAAAACAAAAATATCACAAGAAACCAAAATCAACAAGGAATCAAAACTCAAAGCTCAGTCAAACAGAAATCATAGGCAGGGCTGATACAGCATCCGCATCCCTCCAATAGAAAAAATGCTGAGTGACACACATTCTTAGAAGATTAGATTACAAGTCACGAAAAATCTCCCTGCCATCATTTTCTATCAGAAAACAGCTTTATACAAAAAGGGCCCATAGATTCAATAGTAATATGTATCGTAACACAATAGAGATTAAAACAAGAGTTCCACCTAGATGGCACTGGTGAAAAACCAACAGAAGCCTGTCAGAAAATAATTGGCAAACCTAACCATAAACACACTTTGCTATCTCATCACCACCACTTCTAACAGAGTTCTCTGTTGTCAATGATTTCATTGAAGAGCAAGAAACCTTCTAGCTAACACTGACCCAGAGATTATACTGAAACTAAGGTTTCCCAAAAAAAACAAAAAAAATTACCACCTGCTATAATCCTTGATTGTAACGTTTCCCAATGTAGACCATCTATCCACAAAACATGTGAATCCAAAAGACGCCATCCATTAATTAAAGCATCCACACAATGTATCTCCAACATCCTCTACTGCACCAACCTCAAAATAAATTTCTTTTACTTTTTCAATAAGTTCCTCAAAAGCAAACAAACACTTTCAGACCTTCCATATCCTACATAAAACAATAAACAGAAAACCGAACACTTTTTTTCTTTGATGAAATCATATTCCTCCACATGCCCTTTTCTTGCAGAGCCTTCCACAGCTACCTTTTAGGTAGATGCCAACTCTTATGAAGCATAAAACAAAATGCAACCAATACTAGAAAAGCACATCCAATATATATGACCACAATATCCAATAAAATGAACTTTCATACCACCCACTTTCTTTATGTTAGGCCAAAGGTGCTTCCTATTCAGCTTTTTTTATTTTTTGTTTCTAATAAGTTTCTCTCAGCCCATTCTATCCCCTACATTCCGTCATTGAATAGAAAATATAGGAAGCCAAGAGAGGAATACCTAATGTTGAATGCTTCCTTGAGTTGCCCTTTATTATCAAAGGGAATAACCTGATGAAAACAGAAATCTTGGTGGATATTAAGCAAACCTTAATAAAAATTTGAAAAACCAGAAACTATGGGAGTCAAACAACAAAGGCAAAAGTACTGAATTAGAACAGAGATGCATCAGCAACAATACCTTAAATAATCCATCATAAAGATGGAGTCCAATTAATCTGCAATCGGGATCAATTATTCCAATCTGCAAACAATCACAAAGAAAAGAAGGGAAAATGAAAGATATCATAGGATGGAAACAAAGCCTCTACTATGCAAAGATTTTGCAGGTAACGAAATTCAACACCTGAATTTCAACATGATAAAGAAATTTTTCAAACAACTAGAAGAAATACCTGACCATTGTCTGTAGGGCGGCCTATACGGTCTGAGACATCCCCCATTGCTCTACATGAGAAACATCTCAAGTTCAAGGATTCAAGAATGTTGTTCAAATAAAGAGAGAAAATTAACAAGTAGTAACATTTTATACAGTTTCACAAGGACTATGGCAATATAAATAAACTAACACAAATCTTTCAGTTTATTTTGGCTAGATGTGAACATATTATTCTCTGTAGATGTCATCATGTCATACAAACGAACTGTTACAATAATCCTTCTCACACATCCTTTTTTCCATCCATTTCGCCATTGTCACAAGGCAAGCCAAGTATAGTAAAAAAGGGGGCAGGGCTTGCTAACGTCCCTATAGTGGAGTAGCTCAAGAAAGTCTGCAGCTTTTATTTCAAAGATAACAATCTGTTTAATTTTTAGGTACACACAAAAAGAGACCACCTGTGAGGGCCTCCTTCCAGCTCTAGTTCACCACCAGGGGTTTTAAGGGGGACACAGCTCATCTTTGAAAGAAAACATAGGATAATGTTAAAAATGGAGGACCTTGATCCAAATGGGGGCTGCTTGCAGGTGAGGATAAGTTCGTAACAACTCTTTGACGTATCTCTTGAAGTGTAATAGAAGTATCTAAAACAAGGTGTAAGAGGAGTGTAGAGAGGATTCCTAACATCTATTTCCTTTCTCTACCGTTTACGTTGGGCCTGTATGGGCCGCCGGTGCCAGCGAGAGATTGCACAGTGACCTAGAAAATTGTTGATGCCAGGCCATTGCCCTCTTATCCATATTTAGTCAACACCCAATGTCCAAGGCCACAGTGTGCTAATGCCACAAACGGTCAACAAACCTCCATCTTCACAATTTCACCACAACATTATTCCCGCCCCACCATCACCAGCAACTCCGCAACAACCTCCATTAAACACCAACCAACAACCAGCTTCTTCAAAAAATAATAATAGCAATTAAAAAAATTGAGATTTACCTTCCCTTCAAACACAATGACTCAAGAAAGAGAATTGCTAGAAGAGAATATCTACAGCATTGAGACTTGGACCCATTGTTATCACGTACCTGAAGAAGAACAGTAACAAAATGGAACACAGAAAAATATGGAAGTCTTGAATTCCCTCCGAATTTAGTAAATCAAGCACATTGGTGGCAGAGCCACGTAGGGACTCTCCCCCCCCCCCCCCCCCAAAAAAAAAAAAAAAAAAAACCCACTTTTGGATCACCTCTGGTGAGGACCCCTTAATGTTATTCAACATACTACAATACTTGGCCCCCTAAATTTTTGTAATTTTTCATAATGGCCCTAGCCTTTTTTTTCCTAGTAAATTAGTGGTCCATTAGCAACCTGCAACAAATGTTTTATTTTTGGATTGAGTAAATCAATTGGAAATGTCGTGATCTATTTATACATATTGAACAAAATACAATACTTTCTACTATCTAATACAATGTTTCCTATTTTTTAAAAATAATTGTGCATTTGTCATTTACTATTTTCGGTTAGTTTGTAGTCTATAATCCAATAAAACGTGATTGGATGCAAAAGGAAATGTGTTTTAACCCAAATGCATTTTATGCTAATTCAAATATGCAATTTCTCAATGAGATCAAGAATGATCTCAACTAGGTTTCGCAACTAAATGAGGAATGATTTAACTACGGACCCAACAATTGTGCGCATTGATAGAAAATTAGTGAGAAATCTGGCTCAGAATTAATTAACTATAAATATTCTCAGAGATTTTAAAGAATGTTGTATTTCAATGTATAGTTATCAAATAGTGTATCAGAAGGTGTATCGTTTTTTAAAAATAGTGTATCGTATCGTATCATGTATTGTGAATCATAAGATACGACGCAATTTTAAATCATTAATAATAAAATATATATGCTTTTGAAAAAAAATTATAAACTCATAAAAATATAACCTTTCATTAATATTTCACCTACTATTCAAGTCACCAATATAATTTACTAATATTAAAAAAATAATGAAGGGTATCAAATTAAATTAATGGTACTTATATATACTTAAAAGTAAAAAGTTATAATGTAGTAGGGTAGTAAGTGTAATTCTTCATACTTATATAAAAAAAAAACACAGTTGTGAGTCTTGTGACCCACGACCGAACAGAGAGAGAGAGAGAAGCAGGGAAAAGCGAGAGGTGAGAGGCGTTGGGCAATGCCGATGCTGGAGAGAAAGAGAGAAGGAGAAGAAAAATAATATAACTGGTGGCTAGTACCTCGTGGTCGCAGCTCACAGCAATGAAGAGAAAGATTGTGAGACCTAGGGTTTCATCCGAAATTTACAAGTTAGTGTTGCAATTTTTTCAATTTTAAAAATTTATTTGATTTGTTTTTGCTTAGGTGTTTTTGTTGATTTGTGTGTTTGGTGGATTGGTTTGTGGGTTTGTCTTCATCTCTATTGCCTTTTCTTTGGCATTTTCTCTGTTCTCTGAGGCTCAACTGTGCGTTCTATTCCAAAAAAAAAAAAAAATTAAACAAAGACTTCGCGAATCGTTTGTATCGACCGATACGTATCGTATCGTAAAGACGTATCGTGTATCGAACGATACTATACAAAAACAATACAAAACTTTGATTTGTATCGTTTTACCTATGTATCGTGACGTATTATACGATACGTATCGCACGATACTAATAACTATGTTTCAATGTAATATATGATTGCCCGATTGAGTTAAACTATACTTCGAAAAATTTTGTGTCTTATTGTTCAAATTTTGTTTAGGCAAAATAAAAACGGATTTTACTAGTAATTTTGTCATAAAACTTAATTTCTTTTGTATTTAATTTCTTTTGGTATCAACTACTAAATTTTTTATTTATATTTTGCCCCCCCAATTGTTATCAAAATCGTACAATTCGTGATTTCGATTCGATTGAATTCCCATTCGATTTATATTTTATTATAGAATCGTTTTTGGCCAAGAATCGTATAATTTGATTCGAATCGAAGGAATCACACGATTAGTTTTATTATCTTTTTTTAACTCTATTTCTAGTAAAATGACATCGTTTTGCTAGAAGAGGCTCACCCTCAAATAGGGGTGTTAATCAAGACGAGCAGTTCGACTCGGACTCGAACTCGACTTGTTTTTTGGCTCATTCAAGCTCACTCATATTAAAAAATGAGCCGAATATGAACAAATTTTGAGGCTCGTTTTGAATCCAAGCTAAACAGAGTCGAGCTCGAGCTATTCATGAGCCAGCTCGTTTATCTTTCTATATGTTTTTACATTTTTAATAATTAAAGAAAAATAAAACTAAGACCCAAAGGATATTTTTGTAAAATTATCTAAAACAAATTTAAAATCTTCTCCATGTTCTTATAATATCACATTAGCCTGCCACCCACCCACGTGATGTCTCTCTTTCTCTCTCTCTCTCCCAATAAAGTGAATATAGACCCCCAAAACCACCTATCCACCCACCCTCTAACCCTAAGTTCTACATCTTCTACCCGTTGGTAATCAGTCCGACTACTTCCTCCTCCCCCTCCAACTTCAGTTAATGGCTCCTCTCTCTTTCTCCCATTGTTTCTTCCTTTGTGCTTTGCAAACAGAGACTCTTCTTCATCAAGTATGTTGCAGCTTTTGGTGTTTCCAGATTTTGAAGATGGAGTTGGCATGAGACCTGGAACAATTAATCAAAAGGTTGTGTGGCTCCTGTGGCATATAGTTTTATTGACATATATTCTATTTGTAAGTTTTTTTTTCTGAATTAGATTTTTTCAATGTTTTTTTTTTATGGAAAGTGAATTTTTCAATGTTAGGGCTTGTATTTAGTCTATGTTTTGAATAAGTCAAACCTGAAACCTATGAATATGAAATTGGCATTGGTTATTTGGGTTTGTGGATTTGAGATTTGTAATTTATACGGTGTGTATTTGGGATTGTTTTTAAAAGCTCGGTTTCGGCTCGAGCTTGTGGCAAGCCAAACTTGAACAAAAATATAAGCTCGATATCCGAGCCCGAGCCCAACCCTCCAATAATTCAAGCTGAGCCTGAGCACACCAAGGCTTGCCAAAGCTCAGCTCGTTTAACACCGCTACCCCCAAATATAAAACTAGTGTTGCTCTCAGTACCTCAAGCGATGATATCTAATTTGCAACTTTAATTTGCAGGAGGTGGTCCCCATCACAGCCTAATCTAGATAGGACCAACACTTCTATGTGTTTAGTATCTTAAAGGGGGATCAGCTGAACCCAAAGATGACTTTTAGAGCAACTAATATAATGCATGTTTAACGTTAAGAGTGGTCCACCAACACATAAATAAATCGACTACCACACAAGATGCATGCATTAGGTGGAAGATTATAGAGTGATATTTAAAATTGAGTACTAGTACAAAAACTACAAAAGAAGCTACTTGTACAAAAGCAGTGAAGAATTAAACTTCGCATCATCTCAATTCTCAGACCTTGTAATAACCTCAGCTGCTTCAGCATCCCACTGAAGAACACAGAATTTATATCTTTCCGTCGCAATGAACAAAAGATCTTGTGTCTCACCCTGTTGGGTACCAACATGAACATATTTTAACTATACAACTGTTGGAAATATCTATCATTTCCTGATTGCAAGGTTACAACTTCAAGTTGAATACTCACATGAGGGCGAAATAGTTCAAGTGTAGCAATTCTTCCATATATTGGCACATCCAGCATAGGCTGCAATCAAGTGTAATTTATGTCAACTTATTATCCGTAGGAAAATGAAATATATTATATTTAAGGAGAATGAACTCAGATTTGCAGTGCTTGTAAATAACATAAAAGGGAAACCAGAAATGGCATAGTTGTTTCATTCTCATAGGTGAAGCAAGATTGTAACAACCAATGCATTCAATTACTACAAGTGTTGCCTCGATCCTAACAGCCAAACCAAGTCTCCATTCATATGTACATAGTATGTATGCAGGCAGATTATAGCAATTAGGGGGGTCAATACAACCTCTGGCAGAATGTACCAAGATATTCAAGTCACCAATCTAAACACTTAATCCAATATTGCATTCCATGAGCTCATTGGAGAAAGATAACGAAATCAAGTGACCAGTTCATCAAATCAAAAAGATCCAATAAGTGTAACAGAGACACTCAACCCAATGTTGCCATGTAAATGAAAAATAAGGAATTCACACTAAATAAAGCTATAAATAAAAGACTATTGCAGATTTCAAAAACACGTTCGACAGAGAAACAAGAATAAGAAGTTCATGTTTATCAGTATGCATAAGTGAAGTAGAAAATCAGATCCACCCCTCTTAGACCCCAATAATGGATACTAAACTGGACGTTATTTACATGGTTGCCTTGCTTTGATATTGATAGTATGACATGCACACTGATACTAATTGTGTGACATGCACAGTGATAGAAGATTGGAATGCACGCCTAGAATTCGTGGTGTTTAATTCCATAAATTTACCACAACTATGAGGATTATGTATTTAATGACAATGTCACACACCTACATAGAACTATTTTTGTTTTATCTGGAAAATAGAAATAAAATTGAAACCCCCCACTATTACAACATCGCACAGATTTGGCTTTGAGCATTAAACCTCTTGAGCACATTTCTATTTTTTTACATGTCTGTCATGCCGAATCTCATGAAAAGTTTATCTGCCTGGTTAACTTGGATTGGAGGCAGACAAAACAATTTATAGCACATTGTCAGATGCATGGCATAGTGGCATTTTACTCGCATTTTCTTTTCGATAAGAAACAACAATTTTATTAATAATAAAAGGAAAAAAAAAAGTGGTACAAAAACCATTCATAAGTGGACAATCAAACGATGGATAACAACAAAGTCATGACCAAAACAACAACTAGAACATTGAACACTCTTACTATTATCTCCACTGAATACTCATTAATTGTTTGAGGCCGTGACTAAGGAAGTTAAATGCAATTTTACCTAGAATGTAAAATGTTGAGGTACACATAATGGGATCCAAAATGTGGTACATCATGTTAGAAAATTATTCATTGATTGGCTAATTTCGTGAATCCCTTGCTATAAATCTCAACTTAAGTCCATGACAATGATGCTTCAATGATCAAGTTCTGAAATCCAAAAAAAAAAAAGAGTTCAAGCTTCAAAGCCATATCCAAAACACCTCCATTGCAACTCCAAAGCTTATGACAATGTAATGACCTAGTTACCTAAAACCCTTGGTATATTTTAGACCTTAGTGCATTAGATTAATAAATTATATTTAGGATTATCCATGAATAACTCTTAGGCTTTTTATGAAAAAGTTTTTTAAATATTGAAACTTATTTTAAAAACATAAATTGAGTCATGTATCGAAACCTTTTTGAGCAGCACTCCTTAGTACTCAATAGGTCAAATTTTTGCTTGGTTTCTATCTTACAAACCAGTTAGAACTGCCCTCTTGCTCGCTCACCTTTGACTAGAGCGGTCTCTAAAAACTTTGAAAAAAATTAGAGAAGGCTAACGAGTTGGACAATGGAGACCTCCCTCTACGTCGTTCAAGCGACCTAATAATAACTTGAACAATCTATGCTTTTTTCGACCGGATTGAATCCTTTACTTATTCTAGTACCACCCGCCCCCTCTCACCGCTCTTTGATGGCTTGAGCGTTCCTTCACGAATTTAGATTTTCTTTGTCCCCCAGTTTACTCGAATTCCAAGAATATAAATAGGATAAGCCTCTCCTAACTAAGATATCTCTGATAGAAGCCTAAAAGTTGCCTCTTACACTAATAGAGAGGCAAAACCAACCGTAAATCCCTAAGATCTTGTAAGACCCGGCACTAGAATTAAGTAAGAATAATACTATATTAATAGTTCTCCTAAGATGAATAAAAAGATTATAAAAACCTCGAATTATTATTAAAAGATTGATCATGAAGTTTAAGTTTCGGACGGAATGACTTTCAGATCAAACTTAGTTTTGAAGGTATTTAAACCTGAAAATGCTGATTAGGTAAGTTTTTAAATATTTTTAGGTCACAATAAGGCCTCCATTGGATCCGGAAGATCGAGAAACCTTGGGAGAGGTAATATGGAGTGTATTAGAAATTAAGAAGTATTATAGAGTTAAAGCGCATTTTAGAAAAAAATTGTGTAGAAAGGAATTTGACACTACTTTAATATTTCAGCCATAACTTTTTACTCCAAACTCCGATTGAGCTGATTTTTGGACAGTAGAAACTAGACTTCAAGATCTACAAAAGTGTATTTCACGAAAATTTTCCGAATCGACTTCTAAATAAGTGAAAATTGCTCCTGAAGTTGGAACAGAAAGTTGGCACCATCTGGACACCCCAAGCACCATTCGAACAATACTCCCTACCAGAAAAACTTTATTTTTCATAAAAAACAATGACTTGGCACCGTCCCGACGTCCAAGCACCATCCATACGCCACCCTAAAAAATGGCCCCGATCAATTTTAAAATTTTTCTCCATTATTCATTCTATAAATAGCTATGTTTTATCAGTTTTTAACCCTAGACAACCCTAGAAAGCGCGAGAAAAGGAGAAAACACACGATTCGAAGGAATTCTCGTGTTGAGATTGATTCAAGCATGTTACGGCTATCTTCAAACATCTGATTGAGATAGAGGATTCTTCTTAAGTTCTTTCATTGAAACTTAGGGTAAAATTATGTATGTTTTAAATCTTCTAGATAATTATATGCTAAATAATCTTCCGTTCTTGATTTCTTTTGATTAACATACTGTCCGTTCTTCATTCTTTTTCGAGTAATATGTGGTTTTCAACGAGATACATGTCTTGTATCCAAGAAACATTGTTCTTGAATTTTCAAAACCCTAGTTTTCGTAAATACATGTTTTAAGTGAAAGACCTATTGATTTTTGAATTCTAAAATGCTTATTATCAATTAAATTAGATTTTCAATCAACTACTTGTTCTTGTTCCAAGAAATTGTGATTTTTAGTAAAATATTAGAATTTTGATATCAAAATTCTAAATATTTTCTTGATATGATTTCTTACATATTTTAATTCATTTATTACTATAGTATATTGAGAATGGTATAATTGTGATACTTGAATTGTTAACGAAAATTGTGACCGGTTAAGATTGTGGTTGATGAAAAATTTGTAGTTTCATCTCTTGTATGGTTTGGGTGTGACAAAATTAAATTGTCTTCAAGAGCTGTCGTAGAGTGTTAGAGATTAGTCTATTCTAGTGGGGGTGAAATGGTTGTCTAACATTTGTAATAAATTGTTGTTTGTGAGAGCAACCACTATTATTTACGAAGATTTGAGGCTGAAGGATGGTATACCTTTCCTGAAAAGGATTCGTCAATGTAGTGAGAACAGTATATGCCCTTCCTAAAACAGTTTATATTTGGCCCTGCGAAAAATGATTGAGATTGTTTGGTTTGTAATGGATGAACAAGGTAGAATCATTGTGTAGATTCCTGAGAAGCAACCAACATACATGAAAATATGGGATGATGCTACTGAGTTATTTATTGATTGCTTTAATGTCTTGCATGTTTATTCCTGTCATAGATTTACTGTATTCCGTACACTTGAGATCAGTACAACTATCATAATTTTACTCTTAAAAATGTATATATGCTATTTTTCAAAAGAGACTTGCCTTATTTTTAT